CAATCATTTGTGCGGAGAATGGAAACAGAAGCGCGCTTCAGGACATCAGTGGAAACAAATTAAATACACCGTCATTTTTGCTCATAAAGGTAAGAATAATGCAACGTTCGGAACTGTAAAGGTTTTTTTTTTTATTTGTGTGCACTCACAATATCAAGAAAACGTTGTGCTATTGTAAAATAAAGAAAACAAATAGGATGCACTTGCCATCTCGGGAGCGCTTCACAAAAATGAACCGAAACTCAGCAAATATTTTCCTTACAGACATGATGAATATATCTATAGAAAGCTTTAAATGACTACAAAACGAAATAATTCAAATCCAAAACAAATACTCTTATTATGTAATCCGTAAAGATGCATTTCTTTCTAAAGGAGCATCCAATGATGAGATGGCAGTCAGGATCATCAACTTCATTGCGACACGGACTCATAAAACACTAGTTTATTAGTAAACAATTAAAATATCTCCTTACTATTTTCCCCCAACATAGTCAATGTAATTTTTGCAGCAAGCTTTAGCCTATTTAGCGCGCTCACGTCACGTTGCTGTGTAAACTCATCATTTGCGTGTGTTATTAAGCATTGTGGTTTAAAAACAAGTGATTTAAGCCATTGAAACGCAAATAACAGCACTATATGCACGAGCTGTCTGTTTCGGAGTGCGATTTCTGCAATTGGGTCGGACCGAGGTTGGGTCATATTCACACCTAAAACAAACCGTACCAGAGTTCGTTTGGAAGCAGACCGAGACCACCTCTTCAGCTGGGTCTCGGTGCGGTTATTTGGTGGGGTTTGGTTTGGTTTGGTAGGGGCTGTATTCACACCTGCCTAAAAGGTCCGCACCAAGAGGGGAAACGAACTTGAGTTCGATTCAATCAAACCAAACAAGACAGGTGTGAATACCCATAATGCTGAAGGTGAGGTACAATTCATATTTCTTCAGTAAATAACTTAAAGTAATGTGAAAACTTTCTGTGAGACATAATTTCGCAAACTGCGTGAGTAAATTCACTCTTTCCCTCTCTAAATGCGCAAATGGCTTCAAATCAGCACATCGAATCTGCACTATAAGCGAGCTGCACAGTTGACACGGGAATTGTCACTTGCACAATCGAGGCAGTGATGCATCATCACTAAAGTTTAACATTTTCATTTCTTTTTAATTCTTGCCAGTGTTTAAACCATTCAGCACTCGCGTGCTCTCCTAAAGACGGCGCCCTCATGCACACTCAAAGCGTGCACACAATGCCAGGTTCACACATACTCTTGCTTATATTTATTGCGTTTAAAAATTGTATTACTGTACTGCGTAAAAACAGAATCACAATGCTCAAAAAGCAATTTCAGTAACAACGTTTGGATTTTAAATCAAAATGGATAAATGTAGTGTTTGTAGTAAACAGCTACCTCTGTGTGAAAGCACAATGAGTCTGTTCTGCTTTTGTACTGCACATGGACTGCAAACGGAGAAGGCCTGTGTGTGAACCTGGCCGCCTCACAAACAGCTACCAAAATCAGGCTTGTGCTGTGTGAAAGCTATTGTGCAACAATTGCCCCATTGTAAAAACAAAAATGCACTGCATGATCAAACATTATATATTTTTGAAAAATATATTTAAAAAAAAAGCCCCCCTCCACCCCTCAAATAAAAAAAAATCACCCCCACAAGAGTCACCTAAGAGGGGAATTCCTCCCATTTTCAAAAATGAAATTCAGGCCCTGAATGAATGTCTGTAAAAAAATCCTGACTGGAGCATCACTATAAATAATTCTACATGATAAAAAGGCGGCTTCAAAAAGATCAGTATCTGCAGATGCTGCTTCCTGTGATCGACAATCGGTGATCGGCCCAAAAAATCCTGATCGGAGCACCCTTAGTAATCAACTAGTTCACTAATAAAACACTTTTTTTGTCACTAATTATTTTTACTCTACAGAAAGCCCAGTTATTAACGGGTTTTCACAATAAATATGGAGGAAAAAGGTTTTCAGATTTTTATGAATGCATATTTATTCTCAAATAAAGGCATTGGTTGAAATTAGCTCTGAAACAGCATATACAGGTGCATCTCAAATTAGAATGTCGTGGAAAAGTTCATTTATTTCAGTAATTCAACTCAAATTGTGAAACTCGTGTATTAAATAAATTCAATGCACACAGACTGAAGTAGTTTAAGTCTTTGGTTCTTTTAATTGTGATGATTTTGGCTCACATTTAACAAAAACCCACCAATTCACTATCTCAACAAATGAGAATATGGTGACATGCCAATCAGCTAATCAACTCAAAACACCTGCAAAGGTTTCCTGAGCCTTCAAACATCATACTTGTTACATTTTAATAGCTTTTATGTGTTTAAGTTCTTCGACAACAAAATTACTCTAAACGCCAATCTGAAGAGTCTAGTGTGTGTTGGATATATTTTCACATTTCTTTGGTTCTTTTATTTTTCCACTGACCTGGTGTCGCACAACAATGTCTTTGAGTTTAAGAGCTTGCTTCCGTTCAAGATCAGGAGACAGGTACACCACAGGTCTGCTTAATAAGTTATTCTAGCACAAACAAAACACAGAGGTCAGATACTGCACCACACACAGACATGCTTAAGATCTTTGTCTTTACAAAAGATCCAAGTGCAAATACCTGTATCAGAGTTTTCTCCACAGAGATGAACATCTCCACATTGCGATTCACTCTGGATGGGTTCTGAAGATCAAAGCGTCTCCTTTAATAAAAAATAAAAGATCACAGACTGGATGACGTAAGTTCAACATCTTTATCGGACACTCAATTTTATTGTCTAAGGAATTACAGTTTACATTTTCCGTTAGTGGTAAGCTGTATGATGCCAAAAATCTTATATCATGGTATACAGTACAGTAAGTAACTCTAATATCACTATATTGTATTTAAAATCATTCATATATACACTACCGTTTATAAGATTGGGGTCAATACTTTTTTTTTTATTATTATTAATCAGCAAGGATGCATTAAATTGATAAAAAATGACAAAAGATTTGCTGTTCTTTTGAACTTCCTACTTCATTTCCACAAAACTATTAAGCAGCACAACTGTTTTCAACATTGATAATAATGTTTCTTGAGGGTACGTGTAACCCTTTGCAGTTCTTTGTTCAATTCGCACCATCAGAATGAACAAAATGAAAAGTTGGCTTCAAACTTTCATTTTCAATTTCTTTGGAGCAATTTACAAACGGATAATTGTCTCTCATGTTAATTTTAAATTTTACGAGTTCGGGTTGTTGCGCCCAAATCTGATTTTTGAACTAACATAAAAAATCACTTATTATTCTGATTTTCCACTTCTCTGTTTTGCGCTCCCGGTTGGACCATACCAGTGGGGGAGCGGGGGTGGGGATGTGGATGTATTTACCCAGAGCGCTGTATGTAGGCTATATGCATAGGTGGAGAGTGAACCAACTCCAGGGTAAGGCTAAAAGCAGCCAAATGTATTAAACATCATAAACCCGTCTTTTTAGACAAGAACAAGACATGGGTGTCATTTAGGCAAAAAAAAAAAAAAGTTTAATGGGACTGAATTTGTATGTAACATGATTGCAATTTAATAAAAACATTAGAAATTGATAAGTGTATAACGTTTCCTTTCCACGGTTATTCAAACAGCGAATAAATTATATATAGAAAGTGACTATCACTAACAGTGATCTATCGCGAGTTTAAGCACTCTCAAAAAAATATATATAGTTATAATCACTGAAGCTGTATACACTGTGAAATGAATCTCTTACTTACATTGTACGTACATCTGCACTGTTGTTTATTATGAGAGCAAACACGCACACACTCAACAAAACTGATGAGTTTCAAAGATGGCTCATCTGAACTCCTCTGATTAGCCATTGCATTCCTAAGCTCAACAAAATTGTGTGTGATTGGATAAAATGCGCAACACCGTAAAAACGCCTAAAATGAAATACGGTGCAACATGAGCAGATCTTAATTTAATGCTGCAATCGACACGGTCTATTCATATTCATTTTGTTAGCAACAGACATAATAAATATAATTTGTTTGTGCAGGGGCATTTTTGTCCAATTTAGTGGCATTTTTGCCCCAAGTCCCCAGGTCAGGGGAAAGCTTTGGCTTACTTACATTGTACGTACATCTGCACTGTTGTTTATTATGAGAGCAAACACGCACACACTCAACAAAACTGATGAGTTTTCTTAGATGGCTCATCTGAACTCCTCTGATTAGCCATTGCATTCCTATGCTCAACAAAATTGTGTGTGATTGGATAAAATGCGCAACACCGTAAAAACGCCTAAAATGATATACGGTGCAACATGAGCAGATCTTAATTTAATGCTGCAATCGACACGGTCTATTCATATTCATTTTGTTAGCAACAGACATAATATATATAATTTGTTTGTGCAGGGGCATTTTTGTCCAATTTAGTGGCATTTTTGCCCCAAGTCCCCAGGTCAGGGGAAGGCTAAGCCTTCTAAAAACAAGTCTCTAGACGATGCGGTTTAAAAAAAAAAAAAAAACCTTCCGCTGACCTGTCTCGCGACCAAAACACTATCTGTGTGAACCCGGTCTGACAAATAAGTGAATGGGCCACATGCGTTTTATTTCTTTTACTTTGTGCTACGTCATCGCCCCCTTTCGTTACCTCAGCCGCCCCCTCATCAGTGCTGCGCTGGCTCTGAGGATGCGAATATTGAGGAAACAATGGATGGTTTTCACTCTAAAGTAAAGTAAAAGTCTGCTTCAACAGGTGAACAATGTTGGTATTCTTGTGGGGGAAAAAAAACATGCAAGCACTGTCACCGGCAGCAAGTTTAGTTTTACTTTTCTTTTTGTTTTCATTTTGAAAAGCTTATCTTTGCTGTTTACCTCACGTGATGCTATGGAGGCTTTATTATTTATTTATTTGATTCCTCAGTGTTTGCTAAACATTCTGTAATTTATTTTAGTCATTATGTAATACAGCATGTGGTTTATGCCATGCCGCATCTTATTTGTTTTTGTTAATAAACGTTTTGTAAGCTAGTTTGTCATTGTATCTTTTAATTAAAAATAACAATGAATCCATCTTTTGTTTTAGTCTTAAAAAGTGAAAGGTGTATAGATGTATGCAAAACAGACAATTATCTTTTATTGTAAAACGTGACAAGATCGCAAAATCGAAAGTGAAAGCATCCGAAGCCCGGTGTTCTGTCGATTTGTGCGACCCTGTCAGATTTTGCTACCTCCTATTAAACAGTGGGTAGTACAATTCGACAATGAAAAATGCTACCTGTAAAATTATGGGTTATTAACGTCTACACCTATCACAACCCTAAACCTACCCTTACAGTAATTGTTATATTCGTGGTTGTGGCTAGAATGGATACAGCTATAGGAAACCAACAATATATAATTTTTTCTACCTATTAGATTGTGTTTTATTAAAGTCTACACCTACCCCAACCCTAAACCTACCCTTACGAGGGTATACATACAAAATACTGTATTTTTAAAACTGCATGACAAATTGCAACAAAAACTGACAACAATTGCAAAGAGGCCTATACCATTTTGAGTGTTTAAGAGCTTTCAATTCGATGGATTTTGCTACATACTGTACTAGTACTATTGGATGGTTTACACATTTAAACAGTTTAAGACTTTAGATGCATCAAAGTATGTGTTACCTACAGTGGGTAGTGGACAGGGATGCCATGGCACTGAGAGGAGGGTGTGTCAGTCAGGTCGTGTAAACAAATACCTTTGACCACAAACCTGTTTCTGCAAACTTAAAGCTGCTAGCATGCTGCTAACATCAACACTTACTTACACCGCGTCACGTGGAAACTCCAAAGCAGTCTTTTATTTTATGCTGACAAAAAACGGTGGAGTTGTGGAGCTTAATATAAACATAACTTTACCGTTAAAATGAACACAGAATGAAAGTTGTTACTTCTGTAATGTCTATTACGTTGAGACCCTATTCTGTGGAGTCAGCTGTTCATTCCTTTATTATATGAGGCAAACAGACAAAATACTACCACATAAAAGAGACTTTTGCAGTTTGAGGCGTTAATAAGAATCAGAAAACCACTAAAATGGCAAGACAACAAGAGAGCTCTGTAAAGAAAGCTTCAGGTAACGTAAGCACATCATACATGGGGTCCTCCGGCTATCTAGCTCGCTAACCTTTTTATAATGTTTTTTTAAAAACATGTGCTCGTGCGACCAACTGAGAAAGTTAGTTGCAAAAGAGCGACCAGTGGGAATAATGAGTCTGGAGGCCTGAATTGTCCAGCTCCCCCTGTCAATGATCTAGCACCCCCTCAGCACCTGCGTTCAAAATTCTCTGGTGACGCCCCTGCCCAACCTGTATCCCGAAGCTTGCAAAATCCCAGTCATCATCTTTCTACCATACACAGGGCCGCAAACAGTAACTGCTGGTCGAACGACTGCATCCACACCATCTCTCCCTAGCCGTGCGTAATCAAAACGATGAATGTTCCTCGATGCGCAGAATTTAGAAATGGAGGAAATACTGGACCTCTCCCGAGTCCATATTGCTGCTGTAGGACCTCTTGAACTTGTTTGCTTGTGGATCCCAGCTCCTCTACTAACATGCGGATTACACTTTCGTAATCATCAAGCACTCTCCACTCACACATCTTCCAGAAAATCTGTGGTTGTTAACTTCGCTGCCCAGAATGACTGAAGCCTCCGCAGCGCCTCTAGCGGTCAGACCAAAAAAGGCGCCAACGACGCCTGCTGCATACTACCCACTGTACATACTGCGTACTTACCATTATTTCGTCAGATCACTACAAAAAGTAGAAGGAAACAATAAACGGTCATCTGTAGGATATTTAAGATTAGGATGGCAAAACATTTATTCAGCAGTCATACGCAACTTTCAACACTGCAACTAAATCTTAACACTGAAATTAAACGAAATTAATTAGAGAGAGAGGCAATTAAATTGAAAATTTTAATTGCTGCTATATATATATATATGTGTTTCTTAAATATTTTTATTTCTATTTATTTTTAATTGCTGCTACATATACAAATATAATACAGTTTGAGACATTTAAAATGGGTCCATCATAGTACAAATCATATCATGCTGTTTTCATTGTTATGAATGTCGAAATGCAGCTGCCCTTGAACACTATTTTTTCAACCCAGACCTTCAGACAACCTGCATGAGATAAGTGATGTGTCCTTAAAAACTTAAATGCTAAACAGATAAAGAGTGTTATATTTTTTTAATCTATAGTTATTTTTAATACTACAAGCAATTAAGATCAACCCAGGACATGTGACAAACGTAAAATGTGAACTAGTTTTTGAAATACCCCTAATTCTTTACTGAAGGACGGGCCAGTGAATGGCGCATGCTCAGTGCGAATAGGGAGTGTTGGAGACAGCCAACAGTGCAGGGAAAGGCAAGGCGGTGAAAAGAGAAGCCCGTCTTCCTTTCGAAAAGGGAAAAATACGTTAACGGAGCTTCGTTGTATGTCACAACCGGCCATGCCAACGACACAGCGATGTATTATTACTGCAATCGGAATAAAATGAGCGCTAGTGCAGCCGGGCCTGGAGTGGAGAGTTGCGGGGCCGGGTGTCCGCATAGCGCCAGCCGCTGCTGCGGGGGAGGAGGCTGCGGTGAGCCCGTCAGCGGTGACGGAAGCTCGGCCGCTGCGGCTACAGCCACCAGCGCTGCCCCAGTGCGGAGCTCAGACAGGGAGAGCAGCGTAGCAGAGGCCCAGGCGTTCCGCGAATGGGACGATGCCACCTCCGGCGATGCGGATCCGGCCCAGAAAATGAACGAGGAGGGATTTTTTTTGTGGATCCCAGCTCCTCTACTAACATGCGGATTACACTTTCGTAATCATCAAGCACTCTCCACTCACACATCTTCCAGAAAATCTGTGGTTGTTAATGTGCAGTCACACAGTTAATGGAGGTTTGATGATAAATGATTGCATAGTCAGACGTGTCAATCCACAGGCAAAGGGCCTATACATACAGCTCTGGGTAAATACATCCACACGCCCCCACTGGTACGGTCCAAAACTGGAGTAATGACTGCTGAAAACTCAGCTTTGCTAACACAGGAACAAATTACATTTTAAAATATATTAACACTGAAAACAGTTAAATTATAATCATTATTACAATAATATTTGACAATATTGTTTTTTAATAAAATAAACGCAGACTTGGTAAGCATAAGAGATTTTAAAATGCATAACAAATACACATTTCCTCCATTATACCATCCAGCACTATTTAGCATTAATACTAACCAGCCCTGTTCTGTCTTGAACTTGTACACTGATCCCAGAATATGACAGAGAGCACCGCCTGGCCTTAGGTCCTGAAAACACTTTGCCTGAGGACAAAGAAACAAGGGTGAAACAACTGATCACTCATAATTCTGCAAAACTAGGTGTCATGCTATGACTGATCTGGGTGTGGTGGTGTTGATTACCTCCTTGACTCTATCAAAAAGGTAAGACGTGGAAAGGGATGTACATAAATCTACAGGAATAAAAGTGCTTATGGATTGTTTGTCAGAGAAAGAAGAGGAAAAGCAGCAACTCACTGGGAGTTTTGTAAAGCTTGGGTTATTTGCTCGCCGGCCAAATGAATCTTCCTGAAACTGCAGCAGTTGGATGACCAGCCCAGACAGAGACTTGCTGGAGGGAGCATCAGTCTGTACATACTAAAAGGGTATACATACAAAATACTGTATTTTTAAAACTGCATGACAAATTGCAACAAAAACTGACAACAATTGCAAAGAGGCCTATACCATTTTGAGTGTTTAAGAGCTTTCAATTCGATGGATTTTGCTACATACTGTACTAGTACTATTGGATGGTTTACACATTTAAACAGTTTAAGACTTTAGATGCATCAAAGTATGTGTTACCTACAGTGGGTAGTGGACAGGGATGCCATGGCACTGAGAGGAGGGTGTGTCAGTCAGGTCGTGTAAACAAATACCTTTGACCACAAACCTGTTTCTGCAAACTTAAAGCTGCTAGCATGCTGCTAACATCAACACTTACTTACACCGCGTCACGTGGAAACTCCAAAGCAGTCTTTTATTTTATGCTGACAAAAAACGGTGGAGTTGTGGAGCTTAATATAAACATAACTTTACCGTTAAAATGAACACAGAATGAAAGTTGTTACTTCTGTAATGTCTATTACGTTGAGACCCTATTCTGTGGAGTCAGCTGTTCATTCCTTTATTATATGAGGCAAACAGACAAAATACTACCACATAAAAGAGACTTTTGCAGTTTGAGGCGTTAATAAGAATCAGAAAACCACTAAAATGGCAAGACAACAAGAGAGCTCTGTAAAGAAAGCTTCAGGTAACGTAAGCACATCATACATGGGGTCCTCCGGCTATCTAGCTCGCTAACCTTTTTATAATGTTTTCCAATCCAACTGCGAACCGTTTCCAACTGAGAGATAATTTCCGGGCTTTCCCAGAATTTACAGCACGGTCCACCGTCCATTCTTCGGCTCAACGAAGAGCTGCAACCAGCTTGACTCATCGTAGGTCCCGCAGCAGTAGATCCTAGCGCTTGTGTACTAGCCATTGTTACATGCTAATTATTAGCCTTCGCTGCCCAGAATGACTGAAGCCTCCGCAGCGCCTCTAGCGGTCAGACCAAAAAAGGCGCCAACGACGCCTGCTGCATACTACCCACTGTACATACTGCGTACTTACCATTATTTCGTCAGATCACTACAAAAAGTAGAAGGAAACAATAAACGGTCATCTGTAGGATATTTAAGATTAGGATGGCAAAACATTTATTCAGCAGTCATACGCAACTTTCAACACTGCAACTAAATCTTAACACTGAAATTAAACGAAATTAATTAGAGAGAGAGGCAATTAAATTGAAAATTTTAATTGCTGCTATATATATATATATGTGTTTCTTAAATATTTTTATTTCTATTTATTTTTAATTGCTGCTACATATACAAATATAATACAGTTTGAGACATTTAAAATGGGTCCATCATAGTACAAATCATATCATGCTGTTTTCATTGTTATGAATGTCGAAATGCAGCTGCCCTTGAACACTATTTTTTCAACCCAGACCTTCAGACAACCTGCATGAGATAAGTGATGTGTCCTTAAAAACTTAAATGCTAAACAGATAAAGAGTGTTATATTTTTTTAATCTATAGTTATTTTTAATACTACAAGCAATTAAGATCAACCCAGGACATGTGACAAACGTAAAATGTGAACTAGTTTTTGAAATACCCCTAATTCTTTACTGAAGGACGGGCCAGTGAATGGCGCATGCTCAGTGCGAATAGGGAGTGTTGGAGACAGCCAACAGTGCAGGGAAAGGCAAGGCGGTGAAAAGAGAAGCCCGTGTTCCTTTCGAAAAGGGAAAAATACGTTAACGGAGCTTCGTTGTATGTCACAACCGGCCATGCCAACGACACAGCGATGTATTATTACTGCAATCGGAATAAAATGAGCGCTAGTGCAGCCGGGCCTGGAGTGGAGAGTTGTGGGGCCGGGTGTCCGCATAGCGCCAGCCGCTGCTGCGGGGGAGGAGGCTGCGGTGAGCCCGTCAGCGGTGACGGAAGCTCGGCCGCTGCGGCTACAGCCACCAGCGCTGCCCCAGTGCGGAGCTCAGACAGGGAGAGCAGCGTAGCAGAGGCCCAGGCGTTCCGCGAATGGGACGATGCCACCTCCGGCGATGCGGATCCGGCCCAGAAAATGAACGAGGAGGGATTTTTTACGAACGGCGCTGCTGATATCACACGGGAGGGAGACGAATGCGCGGATTTGGGGGAATACGGTGGAGGACGCGGGCGTTTTTGTAGACAAAGCACTGGAGCGGGCGAGGATAACACCATTCATATTGATCACGAAGGAGCTGGCTTGCGGTGTTTCATGAGCGCTAAAACAAGAAGGGACGAGCGTAGAGCGAGCGCGAGACTGCCGCCGGTGCGCATCGCGAGAGCCCGACGAGGACACACGGCTCACGCCGAGACCGAGCGCGCGATGTTGACTGTCGCTGCAAGGTGTGGTCACGGGAATTCCGAGCCCACGGTCATCAAGCGCCGGGTGTGCAGTTTCACCCGAGCCTCCAAGAGGGTGTGTTTCTCGGGCACGTACTGCGGCAGCTCGGACGCCGCGGCCCGCGTTGGTTCCAGTGGTGAAGCTCACGTGAAGAGCTCCGCGAGCACTGCCGAGACTTTCAGGCGCACGTCCTTACGTCGTATCCACTGCGAAAACAGGACCGGGGCCCAAAAAATGAATTTCGCTGCGTGCCCGCCTGAAAGTGCCCAGCTGCCCACATGCAGGACGGCGAAGGGGCGCGTCAGACTGTACAGGGTGCGCTCCTTTCTTTCCAGCTCTGCCCACTATAACAACGGGGTCAGCAGAAATGGTGCCCCTCACAATAGCCTTTCACTGCAATCCTCCCTCCAAGCCGAGCCCGACCTACGTGATTGCGTAAAAAAGCCCCTGTGTGCCCTCTCCATCACTTCTTCTCAGTCTGAGAGTGGGCCTCCTAACGGGCCAGAGCCACAGAAGTGTGACCGTACAACTATGGGCATTGATGCACATGGGACTGAGGGCCCCAGCACGGAGCAAATAGAGGCGGTGAGGGGTGAAGCCGAGCGCAGGCAGGCAGAGCTGGAGGGTCGTACCGACCACCTCTGGCGGCGCCTGCAGGCCATACAGGTGAAGCAGGTGGAGAGGCATGTCATGCAGCAGCTGCATGGCCTACACAGGTGCCTTGGGTTGAGCTGCACCAGAAGGCCCAGTACTGTGTCCAGAAACTCAGCCGAGCTGAGCAGGCTGGCGTGCAGCTGCAGCGAGATACTCCGGACTGCAGAGAGCACCCTGGACTCAGACCACACGGCCAGCAGCTCAGGAGGTGACAGTGTCAGTGAGGAAGATGAGGGATTGGAGAGAGGGGAACGTCGCTTTAGACCGCTGTCAATAAAATCAATGTAAGCTTTTAACACTGTGCTTAACCTCAGGTTAAGATCTCTTAACCCAGAGTTAAGTAATGTTTTTCTCCATTATGAGATGCCAAAGATAAAAAACCCCAGGAACAAGATGGAGCAAGATAACCCAGTGTTAAAGGATAGTCCACCCAAAAATGAACATTCTCTCATCATTTACTCAGCCTCATGTCGTTCCAAACCTGTATGGATTTCTTTCTTTTGTGTAAAACTTTCAGTATTTTTTGTCCATACAATGGAAGTCAATGGGAGCCAAAACTGGTTCAAAATACATTCTTTTGTGTTCAGCAGAGAAAAGAAATGCATACAGATTTGTAAAGACATGAGGGTGTGTAAATCATGACAACTTTCAGTTTGGGGGAATTATTCCTTTAAGTGCTCAGCCTGCTTGTATATACATGCATGTACACCTACATGCACATATGTAGAAAAGCTTTAGATGAGTCATTGCATGTGTTGCCTTTTGAATCACCACTGTACTTTGCAGTGTACATGCTGCAATGGTTGTTGATTCATGGCTGCCATATTGGGAGGCTACAAAGACATTTCACGCCAGGCTGTTGGGAATAAAATGGGTCAGAAGAAGCTTCATCCTCAATTCTTTTAGGACCTCCAAAATGGTTTACTCTGGCAATGTTTTTGCATTCCTGTACCTTGAACAGCATGGCACTAGCAACGCCAAGATCATGGGTTTTATGCTTTTACTCAATATTTAGTTTATTTTCTTTCAGTGTCACTGGCAAAGAATGGCAGTGGGCAGAGAGCAGGGCGTGGCTTGGCAGCAGGTGGGTGTGGCTGCAGACTCAAGTATCAGAACTTGAGTATCGGATCCGTGCGCTGACAGAGCTTTACACGCATCTTCGACAGGGAAAGGTATTTCGGGTGTCCATCTGTGTATTTTTGGGTTATTATGGGTGGTTTGATTCATCTATTTTTTTATGTTTCATCCAGGTTCGGTCCACTTGCTCTGTCCCTGACACACCCCTCAGAGCATCAAACCCCTCCTCTGCGTCACACAACTACAAGTCAGTAGATGATTTAACTTGCATACAAACACACACTGGTCGATTTTTGGGTTTGACACTTAATGTACTATTGCACTACCCCCTAGGTTGTCCTCTGCTGGTGATCCTAACAGGAAGTGGCAGACAGAAGACTCCACCACTCCTCAAACCGTGCCCAGTCCTCCACCTTCTGCCGCACGGGTTCGACCATTACTCCGGCAACGACATCACAGACTCGTTCGCCTGGAAGATTGCACAGCGCTGGGGTCAAAGGTGAAGACAGTTGACCTTACTGCTTCTTTTCTGTTATGCACAGTAACTTTTATTATTATTGGCTGCTCTTCATTTTTAATGATGCCTTGAAGAGAAGATAAAAAACAGGAATCACAATGCTGAATTCTTGAATTTGTGTGTCCCTCTCAGACAGTTTCGTTACAGTGCTGGTGTGAACCACCGGCTGTGTGTGTGTTATGTGGTGGTGCTACTTCTCGCTCCCCCTCAGACAAGCGTCTGTGGATGCGTCAGACCTTGCTCGATATGTCCGTTCACTCTGTCCTCTCAATGCCATCAGGTGAAATCTGTATAATCCCAAGATTATTTGTTTTTTTGTTTTCTGTGTGTAAGCACATAATTGTGTAAAGTTGTATATTATTTAAATCCATCTATATTTAGCTTGTATTTCAACAGTACAAACTGTTTAAATGGTCCTTTTAGATCGATGTCCTTGAAAGTTATCCAGTGTGGCTTTCACTTTACAATTGTGCAGACATTTTTGTGGAATTTTCTTCTTTATTTATATTCTAAATCTATTAAAATATATATTAAATTATAATATTAAAGAATAATAATACAATGTGTGTGTGTATATATATATATATATATATATATATATATATATATATCTTTATAGGGTGTGTGTGTGTGTGTGTGTGTGTATATATATAAGTGTGGCTTTAGTGTCCTTGTACTTTTTGGGGCCACTGTGAATATAATGTAGCAAATACTTACCATCACATTTACTTTTTTACCTTAATGCTTTGAATTTCCTCCATTGCAGATTCACCCCTTGCACTGCATTGTGGGATACGCCCGCTGGCCGGGCACCACTCTCATAATTCACTACAGTGGACAGACATGTCATCGGCGTCCTTTTGGCCAGGGAGACGGGGCCAGGGACGAGTTGGGAGAGTGAGAAGGAGACTAGTTTGTCCTCGTCCGCCCAACACACTGCCTCCTTTATTTAACACACCTGGTGGGTGAAATATATATCGTCACTTATATCAACACACACACAAACAGTGTATATATATATATATACTGTATTACACTACTGTTCAAATGTTTGAAGGTAAGGTTTGAAGGTAACCGTAACGTTGTTTTGTTTTAAAGAAATTAATACTTTCTTTCAGCAGTAAAAGAATTAAAAGAATTTGGGGAAACAGATTGCAACCTTGTTGAGCAAAAAGATTAAAACATTTTTACCATTTTCAAGAAGTTAACAAAATTGCTTTTGTAGGTGGTTCTGGGTGCAGAAGTCAGAGGGGTGTGATTATTCCCAACTGTCTTCATTCACGAGCTCCAGATTTGCCCATTCTGCCGTCAA